ATGCTGAGAGTAACCTGAGCTGGAGTTTGAACACTCACTTCTGCCAGCTTGAAATTACTACTTTGGGGTAGAGGCAATGAATGAAATAAATATGGGATAAAGCAGGACCAGCAAATTAAAGATGGCCAGTGATCTTGCAAAGCAGTAGAACACAGTGGCCAAGTCAGCCTGCATCAATGCCCTACGGGCTCCTCCAACACCAGAGTTTCATTATGCAGTGCTCCTGGTAGGACACAGTGGTGCAGAAGGTGGTAATCAGAATACAGGAGTGCAGGAGAAAGCTGCTGATCCAATGGGCAGGTTTATGTCATTAATTCTGTCATGAAGGTACCACATATAATTTACCAAACTTCTTTAGCCGTGGCTCGTTAGCGCCACCGACTTTTCCATCAACTGATATAATTTCTGTGCAGTTGATAGAATCACTGAGTGATGGTATCCAAGCAGCAATGTACTGAAAGAAAGTTCTGCCTGCTGAATCAGGACATAAGAAGTAGCTTTGTGTGTCAGGTCATAACAAAAAGAATTGTACATATCACCTTGGTAGAATTGTTGTCTGTATCTGTTCCTTTTTGCAGCAACAGATTTATACATATATTTATATTTTATATATCCATGGCAGTCATGACAGTGTTGTCTAGAGCCTTTCTTTAAACCTGTTTATTTATTTGAGGGTTTTTTTTCCTCCTGAGATGCCCTAGGCATGCACATGGTGAAAACTGACATTTCGTTGGCTATGAAGATGGAAACATTTCCATGCTTCAGATTGAATCCAAATACTTTAAATTCCTGATATATTTACTTTGGCATTTTTGTGCAGTTCTAGAAGGAATAACTGGCTTTGGAATATGTGTTCTAAATTACAAACAAAAAAGTAAGAGTCACAGGCCTGAAATACACTGATCAACTGTCTCCTATCTCTTTTTACAGGTGTCTCCTAAACTGCCAAATAAAGAGAAACATTAATATAGATGAAATTAAATTCCACCTTTACTTAGACAATCTTAAACAACCACCAGATGATGTAGCCCAACAGAGGGTGCTGGAGGGTACTCGTGGATACCCTCAGGTAGTCAAATGAAATGCAAACAAAGGGCACTAACTCCCCGACTTGCACAGCTCTGCCAGGGTTTGTAGGAGCTTCAATGAGTGCACAAACTTTATGAAAATCTGCTGCCACCCTCTGCCACAGTGAGAGGCTGAGTGTGGTTGTCATTTTAACATCAGCTAGTCAGGTTTGGTGCTTGTCTGCTTTCCTTCCAAAGATCCTTTGTGTTTCTGTTGGCTCTTTTTTATTTTAAAGAATACTGGGTTTGGGGGTTGTTTTTTTAATTTAAACTTTAAAAATGTCGTCAGAGAAGAAAATAATGATCTGAACAATTCCAATCTTAACACTGAAACTGTCAAGGAAAGGAATCCCAGTTTTCTGCAGAGCAGTTGGGATAGTGGGAGCTGAGTTTAGCAGGCAGCTCAGCAGCAAAAATGACCCCAGTAAAACATGCCGTGGTCTTCTAATGTTAGCTTGGGATAGCCAGGCATCCTTGTGCTCATCTTGAAATGGTTCATTCTAAATCCGCTGGCTCTTCCTTATTCTTCTCTGTAAGCCTGGGATATGATGGATTTATTAGCCTGAAAATTCACTTAGATGGCTCTTCCTTCCCCGATCCCCACTCCACTCTGGGATATGTTGAAGTGTAACGGCGGCGGCAGCGAACGCCTCTGGGTGAGTTTAGAGATGATTATTTGCACTGTTTCCAATCTATTTTTCTAAGGCTCACCATCTGATGCCCACCGAGTATGTAACCATTCTCTGCTGGGAGAATGAGCACAACCAACCACCAGGGAAAATTCTGTTCAAGAACATATGTCTGAGCAAGCAGGATGTACCCTCTGCCTGGCAGCTGCTTCCCCCTCCTTTGTTGCTTCACCTCCCCTGCCTTATTTTCAATTAACTGCTGTGGTTTTACCCCTGTGAGGAGCCAGATCTGAGAGTGAACTCGCTGTTCAATGTCCTTGTTTAGAATAATCAAACACATTTTTGCTAAGAACTTAGGTAACTGGGAGGAAGCTGGGAGGCATCTCCTTGCCAGCCACTGGAAGAGGCAACGCTGCTTTAAAGGGCTGTGTGCTAAGACTCTAACAGCAAATAGGTTTCTCTTTTTGATTCTTCTTTCTTGGCAGTTTTAATGGGAAGAAAAGCAATTCTATATCAAGCTGTCTTCATTGATTTATTAAAAAGATGGGCAAAATCATCAAGCTCCAGATTTTGGACCATTTCCTGTGCAACCCTGCCAAACAAAACTTCCTACAGATTTCACACTGAAAGAATGGGGTTTGAAAGTTCAAGTAAAGCTTCCAAATCAGATCAGAACTCCTCTTTTCAGGAGGTGCTTGTCAGCCAGAAAGGGTATTATACTTGGAAATCCTGAAATACATCAAGGCACTGAGATGATTTATCTAGTAGGACAATTTATGGACCTGGGAGTAACTTCAGGCAGGCCTGTGTATGTACTGCATCTAAAAGTTACGTAGGCAATGAAACTGGCATAATACAGTAGCTAATTACTCAGCCTGCCAAAAATTAAGCCCAGCTTTGGCTAGCAACACAAGCTCAGCCTCAGATGGTAATTTCAAGTTCTCTGGAATTAAACTGGTCGTGCTCTCTGGGGGTCTCAGGTGGCTTAATTTCCCATGTAAGAAAGACACCAAAGATACTACTAAAACCCCCAAGCGAAGGTTAAATGACTGGTCTTAATGCAAAACTATGCAGCTGATATTCCTTTACAACCATTCACGTGGCATATCAAAAATCACCCAGGATTCAGAATTCAGTTTTTTACTCTGTGAAGGGCCCTAGCACATGGTGTTCTAAAATAAGGACAGAAATAGTCTGAGCCATATTGCTTATCCCAGAAATCCAACGCTTTCAGAGAGAATGCCAAATGCTGGGCTTACTTCTCAGTTGTTCAGGCTGCAATGGTTCATGAAATATCAGAGCATCTCTTCAGGGGGACGTGACCTGATCCAGGAAAGAGCTGAGCACCCTTAGTTGATATAACAGGTTGCCAGGTTTCTGAGGCTGAAAGCAGAGTGGGAAGAAAAAGGGAGGAACTAAACTGTGTGTGTGTGACACTGCTGGTATCTATCTGCTTGAAACCAAGTGTAAGATTTAAACTTGAATAAGAAGAGGGTACATTTTTCAGAATCTGAAAAATCTGTTCAGTGGAGGGGGGAGAAAAAGCCTGTGATATTTGAAGAGGGAAAATTTAACTCAGGCCTGAATCCAGATGTGTTGCAATATTAGAGGTTCCCATACATTTCTTATCAGCACTGAAAGACACAAGGACATTTAGATGTAGGGATATGTAATTATTTGCAATTGAAACAAAATATCAGCTAGTTTGTGCACAAACTCCTCCTGTTGAGTTAACATTCTTCTACTGAATTAAATTATTTTCAAATGTTGTTGTACTTTCAGAGGTGGCCAGATGTGTTTTTCACATTCTGTTTCACATGCTATTTTTTTAGTCATCAGAACATAATGACATTAAAATTGCTGTCTGAGTTGACATGGTTATTCCCCCTTGATGATAGTCTTTATGCAGAAGCATGATGTGACAGATGAGAGTGCTGATGCTCAGTGTTTCACACAGACTTAAAAATGCTTTAAAAAATCATACCTGCAAAACTTTGAACACTATTCTATAGGGCAACAAATTTTTCTCCACTGTGATGTATTTGCATTACTTTCTTCCTTTGTTGTTCTACGCCTAGAAACATGTGCATGAAAACAGGAATTTAGTTGTTCAGGAGCTCAATTACTCCTGCTGTGCAGCCATCACAGGAAATCATAACCTTCTCTTTCAGGAGCAGCTTCAGACTAGGCAGCAACATAGATCAAATAAACATTGGAAGATTAATCAGGTCTGAGAGCTGTACTGGATTTTGGGCTGGATTTAACTGGAAAAGCATGTGGATTTGTACTTAAGATGAGGAAAATCTTGCTGATGTTTTGGGTCAAAATGAGAGAAGTAAGGTGAAGCCTGAGCTGTGTAAAGGCAGATTCCAAGTGAGCAGGACATGGGTGCAGAGACGACAGCAGACAGAAGAAATATTTATGGAGATTCCTGTAGCCCTGACATGTTAAAACTGATTCCAGGAAGATCTCTGTCACTGTGGATGGAGGTCTCACAGAAGCAGTTATTCCTGGAAAATTTCAACAACATCTAAGCAGACCAGAGGGGCACCTTTCCATTTCCAGAGGCTCACCTGAACCCTGCTGGAAAGGAGGATTTGTACCCAGGATCCACACCACCAAACTTCCCTGGGCTTCACATGTGAGGTTTTGGGTTTAGCTCATTTCAAACTGTTACACTGATCTCTGTTGGGTATAAGCATCACACCAAGCCCAAAGAATTGTATCAGTTAAGTTAATTCTTTGTGTATCAAAGGTACAGAAGGTTTTCCATTTCAGAAAACTGCACCTTTGCCTTCCTGCTTTTTCTTATTTGTATAATTTGCATGAAAATAATCTCTTTGCCTTTGACGTTTTGCTCTGGCTGCTTTCTCAGTCACTCAGAACAGTTGCCCTTTGCATATGATGTCATTGTTATCTGCTACTGAAAGAATTTTAATGTCACAGAGAGGATTAAGATTTCAAGTCAGGAGGGAGCAATAGAAAAACCTGATCACCTAAGCAACAGAAGTCCTGTTTCCTGCCTGTGTGTCTAAGGATACCTAACAAGTAAAAAAAACCCCAAAACCTATCACCGAAGGAATGACACATTCTCTTTCTTCCCAAAGAAAGTGGTTTATTACACTTTAAATGGTGGACAAAGCTGGCAGGTTCTGCATCTTTCAAGCACACCTGGTGCAGTTATTTGTTAAGCATCAACGTCGGGTTGATATGACACGATCCTGTTGTGACAAGGACAAGCGGTTTGAGGGTTTGAGGGCTCAAGACCCTTCTCCAGCACCACCTTCCCCCTTGGCAGCTCCTCATGCCAGAGGAGGACGGGCCAGGAGGGCGAGCGCTGGGCTGGCCAAGGTTTCCAGGCCCCTCTCTGACCTCCCAGGGCCACCAGCCCAACCCTCTGGCCCTCCCAACCGCAGAGGAACAGGCACCGCTGTGCTGCCTCCGTGCCCGGCCCAACAAACCCGAAAGCTGGACGAGGGTGGATGAGGAACTTCTTGGGGGAGCCTGGCAGCTATGTCTGGTTGCTGAGGGAAGGGACCCCCGTGGTGGTGGGATCTTTGAAGCGTTTGGTCAACGTGAGGTAAGTTCAGACGGGTGGTTGGCAGGGCTTGGCTGCTTAAGGGCAATTAGTTTGAGGCTGAGCAGTAAGATAGGGGAACAACCAGGCATTGGAAACAGGAGGTTTGAGCTAAGTGAGGCAGCCAGCCCAGGCAGCCTCGTGGGGTTGTTTGGGTCAGCCAGAATAATGTTCTCTGGGTGAATTGAAGGGTTTGGTCAACGTGAGGCAAGTTCAGACGGGTGATTGGCAGGGCTTGGCTGCTTAAGGGCAATTAGTTTGAGGCTGAGCAGTAAGATAGGGGAACAACCAGGCATTGGAAACAGGAGGTTTGAGCTAAGTGAGGCAGCCAGCCCAGGCAGCCTCGTGGGGTTGTTTGGGTCAGCCAGAATAATGTTCTCTGGGTGAATTTTGCTGACTGTAAGGACGCACAGCTCTGGAAGTCATAGAATCATAGAATCTTAAGGGTTGGACCCCCCCCCC